ATATATATATATATATATTAGTTCAACATCTAACTTTGACTGTCAAATGACGCTTCTCGCATTTAGGTGATGTAATCACATAAAATTTATTTCCAAACGTATTATTGAAGAAAATATGACACAAGTCCTTGAATGAACTTGTTTGGATTTATTTGTGCTGCAAATGCAAAACGCGTATACAGTTATTGGCCCCAAAATTCCTAATCGCGACCTATTGCGAAAGAAGTTACATTGTTATTCAATGATCCATGCGTGTCAAGCATACGATAGACTTATGGTTTATCCGAAGCTCCGCGAACCGTGACGCGAAATTCAATGCGAAATTCAATAAGACCACCTACCAGTATTATTAACTATGTTGATATGTGATGTGTCCACAACTATAAAACTCCTTACGTATAATAATTACGTAATACTAAGTTCGACCGTAACACATTTTACTGATTAGCACATTGTTTCCAAATATATTGTGCATGTATATTGAAATGTACGCAGATATTTCTTAAATTTGAAAAGAAAATCGGTTGAACTGAATTTAATTGTTTGTCAAATTAGTATAAAGTGTCAACTGACGCATTAACTAAATGGTACTTACTTTATAGGTAATGCTGTGGAAAATACGTATAGTGTTCAGTATTATAAATGTTATATACGATGTACTTCGTCCGATATGGTTGTTTTTTCACAAGAAACCACCAAATATTCCACCTATAACTTGTTCCATATATATGTTGAGTGCCACGAAACTCGCTAAAAAGATCAGAGAGAGAGAGGTAAAATCATTATTACATTTCTATAAAGAATCCTTCTGCGTATAGCTTCAGCGATAGCTTTTATCGTTTTGTGCCGATTATGTATGATACATGTTATGTAATTATGACAAACTTAATTTTATTTTTGCTGTAACAATTTATTTGCTATAATAATAAATTTTACTTTGTAATATATAGGAAGTAAAAAAGTTTATATACAATGTTTAAATGTATTTAAATATATTTAAAAAAACAGATTACGAGTTCTGAAGTAGTGCAAAAATATATAATGCGTATTAAAGAAATAAATCCTTTCATAAACGCTGTTGTTGACGACCGATTCACTGAGGCGATAATCGAGGCAAGAAATTATGACCAACAATTGAAAGATGATAAATTTGATATTAAAACTTTAGAAAAAGAAAAGCCGCTTTATGGTGTTCCAATTACCATTAAGGAATGTTGTGCTGTAAAAGGTAAGAGTAGTTTTTTTATATTGTTGCTTCAACATTTTCATCTTTACATTTTAAAGAACACATATCTAAAAAAATACACAGAAAAAAAGGCGCTATTATGTGAATTATATTAAATAAGTATTAATTACATTAAGTACACCAAATGTAAATTATAAATCTTGTGTATGAAGTAAATAAACGTTTACTATGATTACAGGTTGCAGTCATACAGGTTGCACTTTGTCTCGCAAAGGGATAAAGGCAGACTACGATGCTGCGATCGTCGAGATGCTTAGAAATGCCGGTGCGATACCATTGTGTGTTACTAACACGCCTGAGATGTGCTGTGGTTTTGATAGCACTAATCTACTATACGGCCGTACCTACAATCCTTATGACACTAGGTATTCGGCCGGTGGATCATCTGGTGGAGAAGTAATTCAGTTTTAATTATTAAAGATTTGAGAATCGTTTAAGACTGAAAACTTGAAAAAAAATTTATTGTCTGTCCATATAAAATAGAAGAGATAGATCGAAAGAACATATAATAATATATAATAATAGAAAATTTATTTTTCTGTGATTTATCTATACATATATATATATATATATATATATATATGTATAGATAAATCACAGAAAAATAAATTTTCTTTGGAATTCGCATAGAATTTCGATTGATTGAAGTTGACCCGAAAGATAATATATATATATATACATATGTACATAAAATATGATACTTTTTGTATAATTAATCGATTAGCAATTATAGAGTATTATCGACACTGCGGTTTATCGGTTACGAATCATCGGTTACGCAGTTTATTTTTCAGGTCAACTTCAGTCAACATCGAAATTCTACGCGAATTCCAATTCTTACGCGAGCGAAAGATATATGTTGTTGTTTATTACTCATTACTGACTTTCGCTTAGAACACTTTCCTTTCCCGGAACACTTAGACGTACAATCACGCGATACCATTTATTTGTAATGATGTAAGATCAGGGTGTCTCAAAATTGACGAATTAAAATACCACAGCAAGACACTTTATATAACTAGATGGAATTAACGTACAATATATAATGTTCCTGTTTAAAATGATAGTCTCAATCTAGTCTCAATCTAGTCAATAAGAAGAAAAAAATTTTAAATAAAAATTTCTTATTTAAGGGCGCATTACTTGGGGCAGGTGGTTCCGTAATCGGAATTGGCTCAGATTTTGCTGGTTCTATAAGAGTACCTGCTTTTTTCAACGGCATTTTCGGGCATAAACCCACATCTGGTAAATTAATTTTTTTTATTATATTGGTATTCCCATTGTGATCCATTGATAGACTTAATTCTTTTAATTAAATCTTGTTGCTGTTTTAAATTACTTTTCGAACATATATATATATATATCTATTAAAAATATTTAAAAACTCTCTTATAAAAAAATATTTTAAGTACAAATTCACTGATAAAATGGAAAATTAAAGAAACTTGAGTGGTTATAATATTAGTCATATTCTTTCCTTTTCGTTTTGCAGGAATTATTCCTACTAATGGACACTTGCCATTCACCGAAGACAAATACTTTCAGAAGTTGCTAACCTTTGGCCCAATGACTAGATACGCTGAAGATCTTGGTTTGCTTATGAAAGTGATGACGTCGAAATGCAATCACGACTTGCGTTTAGATGTGCCGGTGGATTTGAAGCAAATAAAGATCTACTATCGACAAAGTTTGGACAAAACGTTTGGTGTAGTATCCATGTCAAAAGAAATTGAGAATTGCGTTCTGAAAGCCGCTAATCATTTCGCGCGATATAATGTTCGTGCCGAGAAGGTACAGTGTTTGCAGCCAATATACCAGTATGCACGCAGGATTTAACGTACATTAACTTGACATTACAGTTACCAATAGAGTGGCCAGTAACAATTGTCGACATTGCGTTAACAGGATTCTTGAATGTAAAAAAGGTCCCTCAAATGCTGCTAAACGCGAACGATTCCAAGGTATAAAAGATGCAAAATACATGAAGCTCAGTATATTAAATAGTTCAAACTTTGACTTTTATAATTCTTAACGATAGTTAAATCGATATCGTTGTATTATTGTCATTACATAGTTTTTTTACTATAAAATCCACATAATGACAAATATAACGATATCGTTGAGATCTTTAAGAGTTACAGAATAGGAATCTTAAGGAAGACCTTAATTTAATGACCTAGCTAATTTTCCATACGTGAAAGTCACATCACGTACATGCCCTTTCTATTCCGCTGAAAAAAAAGCAGACGTATTTCATTGTAAGATATTACGATAGAGATATTGCAGCTCGCTAATGCAAAATTGCTGCAATGTTATTTCAGAAGCGGGATACGTCACTTAATTTATTAACTTTGCGATATTATTATTAGAATCTCAGAACTGAAAAATAAAATGTGAATTATGTATACAGTTATATTAGATACAGAGGAGATCGGGGCAAATTGTTACAATTTTTTATTAGCAATTTTTTCGTACAAATTCATTTAAATTACTAATATCTATTGTTTCAAATACATCTTTATCTAGATAGTCAATTTTTTTTCTGTTTTGTATCTGTTTATTTTTAAATATTGAAAATTAACATTTTCTATCAATAGATAGATTTTCTTTCAAATTGTAATAACTTAACTCCACTGTGGAGCAAGATATTACGTTTATAATATCACTTGAAATATATATATATATATATATATAAAAGAAAATTTAATATTACAATATAAACATAATTCAAAATTACAATGAAATCAAATACGAAATATTTCACAAAAAATATTTATTTTATAAAATTATTACAAACATTTTTTTAAAATAAATTATTAAAGTTAACGTTGAAAAGTCAGAATTAATATTATGCATTTGTTGCTTTTCTCACAGACAGGTGGCCATCTTTTAACTTTCTTTGTCGCTGTTGCATACGATTTCTACAATTACAGATTCTCTGTTTGTCTTTTTTTTGTAAGTTTATACCATTTGACAGACTTTTATAAGTAGACTGCTGACTCATTATAATAGAAAGAGATGAACTTGATTCTCAGCTGTACTTGTTCCACATATGCGTATGTATGCTATCTGTGAAAATCGTATAAATTTATGTGAAAACACGAATGTTCTTATCCGTGTGATTTATATGTGAGAGTGAGTGAATACAAATATAGTGCTGCCTAGAGCTGCTTCAAACATGGACACGAAGTCGACAGTCTATTTATAGATCTGTGCATCATTCTGTAGAAGAAAAAAAATTATTTTCAATGGGGTAAGTTGTAACAACCTTCTCCGATCAAAGTGTAACAATTTGCCCCAATCTTCCATTTCCAATTCGAAAAAACAGATCAAAAAGTACATATATCGATTCAAATAAAATGTGTTATAATCAAATGTATACAAAAGAAATATACAAAAAGATGATACATCACATAGCTTTAACTTACATATACAGTAACACAAGCGATATACAATGAAATATTTACTTTTAACAGTAAAAATCAAGAAAATATACGTAGTGTCTTCTAGAGTTGAAATATGGCGGTTAAACTAATAGTGTTTTCTTTTGGAATACATTGAGTGTAATCACTACACCGGTTGCATGTAAGTGCTGTACTACACAAGTGTACATATACCATGATGTACACTACTTCATGTTATCGTGTTTAATTCTACTGCCGGTTGACTTCCATTTTCAAATTTTTAATGTCACACTATATATTCTACACCGTTTCTTTGAGATCGTGTAGAAACCTCACTTCATGCATAAAATTTGCACTACACTATAGCCATGGAAACACGTTACACTGAATGAGTTCGCCTACTATCAGCCAAGGAAACACGCTACACTGTCTGAGTGTTGCTGGTGGGCGATAGTACAGCCAAGAGAAAACGCTATAAATGAAATTGTAGAGTATCGCATATAAAAATTCATAAAAATGTGGCAACTACATAAAAACAAATTGTAATAACTTAAACGGGGAGCACAGACTCTTACATAACGCATAACACAGAATGCATAAGAAACTGAACCAATCAAAATCCTTTATTTTCTTCCTTTCCATAAAATAAAGGACTCTGATTGATTGCTTTTCTTATGCCTCATGTTTTATGCGTTATGCAAGAGTCTGTGTCCCTCCTCCCGTAAAACAACTTGCCTCAGTCTCTTTTACAACTAGATGTAAAAGGTATACGTTTTAGTTTTGGATTGATGATGTAAAAGACAGCTCCAGTTTTGTTATCGATTTATTATTGCAGCACCATAAAAATGTAAACATCGAATTGATGAAAACTCTATTTGGTCTGTCGGAACACACGAAACAGATGTTATTCTTCATTATACCATTAGAAACGCATTTTCCATTCACAGAATCAGAGATATCGTATTACAGAAAGCATGCAGAGGAGATTCAACAGAAACTGCTGGTTAGTGTCTGAAAGTCTAATACAATTATCATGTCATTATCAATTTCGTTATCAGTTTTTTTTACACTTAACTGCCGCTTTCCTTCTGTCTTACAGGATCTATTGGGAGATAATGGCGTATTTATTTACCCGACCTTCCGAAAGCAATTTCTTCCGCAGTTTGTATTATGCGAAACGATGTCCAGTTTGAACTGCGTAATATTCAATTTATTTGGTTTTCCCGCGGCGCACGTTCCGATGGGGCTTAATCACGAGGGAATGCCCATAGGCGTTCAGGTAAATTTTAATTAATCAATTCAGATCAAAGTTTTTTTCTGCTTCTTGCAATAGAAAAAATCTAAAATGCAAATGAATAAAACCAGAATGGAATATTCAGTTTGTCGCTTAATGTATACACACACACACACACACACACACATATACACACATACATATATATATGTGTGTGTGTGGGTGTGTGTGTGTGTATGTGTGTGTGTGTGTGTGTATAAATTTAGGTCATAGCTGCACCTTATCAAGATCGTCTTTGTCTGGCGGTTGCAAAAGAACTGGAGATGGCCTTTGGTGGTTGGGTACCACCATCCGTATCTATAAGTGATTAGAAAATGTATTGGGTTTTTTTTAAGTAAAAAAAAAAATTATATCAAGTTGAGGGTCTTTGCAAAGACAAATGGCATAAATAAAGGATATTGTAACGGTCTTTGTATTAGCAATTCCTTTTACAATATTTCAACATAAATCTGAAAATATGATGTTTGTAAATAAAATACATATGTTCTCTACTCTGCTAAAGATTTATTAATGGGTTTATATAAATATTTATTAATATTATTATATGTAATTATCGTAGCAATATGTATATATGTATATATATGTAGCAATACGTGAATTCTAAGAAATCATCTGAGATCACTATCGCTTTATAATATTACTTAGCAATTAAATCTTTGCAAAATTTAATTCGATATCACTATGTTCACAATTATTCGACTTGTACAGTACAACTGACAGTATAAATTGTCCGTTTCATCTATATTGTTTATTATTATTTTTATTTCGAACGACTTATGTACTAAATATCATCATTATCAATCATAACGTAAAATCTTGTTATAACATCAAGATATTCATTGAATTGTTTGATTAAGATTATTTTTATAATATGCAAATGTATGCTAATAATGCATAAGCTTGTAATAATGTAAGGAACAATATATCTTATTTCTTTTCTGTTCTTGTTTATAAACAGAATGCTGCTTTAGAATTAGATAAAAAAAATAAGCTACATATTTTTTAAAGTTATATAACCATCTTTAATTATTTAGTAAAACAAATCATAGAATACTGATGAATCGACAAATGCTAGAAAGTTCAGAAACTAGATTTTTACAAAATAGGAATTTTAATATATCAACAAAAAAGTTCTTCGACTTACGTAACTATACGCGTAAAATATAATTTACGATACAAATATACCGTTTGTGCCGTAATATACAAGGCACATCTCGCAAGGCACAGAATCGCCGATGCATTCATCGGACGAGAACCTACGTCAGATACGTAAAGATCATAATAACAAATTTATGCTGATTTATGCGGCGTTTCTTTTTTTGCGCGACATAACGCAGATGTATAATTCTCTTACAACTGCGTCGCGAATTCTTCACTTCTTGCGATCACACGGCGCTATATATGGTTTACCACCATACTTTTCCCACTCGCGATTGAATTCATGTTCTAGAACCTCGGCACCGCGTTTCCTCGTTAATCCAGTCTCATCTAGACTTAACTCGCACATCTGCATATCGTCAATGCCTAACAAAAAAATAATTAATAATTTAATATGTGTACTTTATATTTCGGGTAAAATTTTCCTCAGAGAGGAAGTTTTGGGATATAGCCTTAGTATATAAATTCACATAGAAATTATTTAAAAGCATCTAGGATCCAGCTTCGACCGTAATAGGCATTAAATGTTTTTTCTCTCTTTTTTGTTTTCTTTTATTTGTTGTGAAAAAAATAATTCTTTAAAATTAAATTTAACATAACGATATATATAACTTAAAGTATAACACAAATTTAATGGCAAGAATATTTCTGTCAAAATACTGCGAAGTCATAAAAATATCAATATAAACTCGAAAAGTATATTTTCATACGTGCATATAAATATAAAAAATTATTCTGTCATTTTTACTTTTTTCATCGTTAGCTATGTTTCATTTACATTTTTTTCATATTATAAATACAAAGATTATGATACAATTAATCATTTTTATCTGAGTCAATTTTTACTTCCCTCCCCAATTATTGCCTTCAGAAAACATGATTCGAAGCATTATTTGCAATGCAGAGCGTATTAGCATAAGTAACAAATACATAAAGATAAAAATATTATGTAATACGGATTTTTACCTGCTACGAGGAGTATAGGCGATTTATCGGGATGAAGTTCCATTTGCCGTGCAACATATTGACCGTCAAAGTGCGCGTACCACCATCCTCTTTTGCCGCCGCTGTGCGTATTGTCCTGTTGCCCGACCGCAGAGGAACGAACGAAAGGAATTCGAAAATATCTCTGAGATGATTCAACTATCTGTTGCTTCAACGGAGTCCTTGGTGTTTTTGCAGCTGGAAAACGATATATTTAAGATTATTCTTTCCAAATGAAGATATACTTCTCACACATACATACACAAATCTATTAATCTATTGCTTCTTTAATTTATTAAGTATAACGGATTGCAACATAAAAACTACTTTATAACTACTTGATTTCTGCATTAATCTGTTTATTCGTTTTTTCTTTTGCAAGATTTCTTTGATTGAAAAAGATTAGCTGCTGCAGTAAATTAGATGGTAAAAATTGATGCAGCCATGCACAACATTTTTAATTGGCTGCATCAATAGCATACGCTATTCATTATTATTAATTTACAATGATTATAATTATTTACCTTCTTCCATAATAGATTTTGGTGCTCTCTCGTTTTCATCCATGATGGTTCTCCTGCGGTTTCTCGCCTTCCAAGCATGATAAACTTTCAGTCTGCGATGAAATTCGTGACGACAAGCCTGTAATAAATAATTTTAAATAAAAAAAGTTACGGTTAACCGATATGCGTGCACGTACTTCAAGTAACTCGATGTCGCAGGATGTATTGATTGCATCTCGCAGCTCAGAATACTTCCACTTCGACAAATCATACTTTTTGTTGCTCATAGCTGCCTGTTGATTACGAACCTGCTCCGATCTACATTGCAAACAGATATTCATAAAAAAATAATATGTAATCGTGATTTTATAACATTCCGTAATACAACACTTTAACATTGAAATATATCATGCGCTAAAAAACATATTCGCTAGTATTAATCAATAAGAAAGTTAATACAAGCCGAAATTAGTACATCATGCGATTCAGTGTGAGTAAAAAATCTACACGAGAATCTGAAAGTGTTAAAATAAATCTCACAATTAATAGTATGCCTAAAAATGTACGTAGAATCATCTATTTTCTTTGACAGATTTTTCGAGAAATTATAAACCTTTCTTTGACAGGAAATAATTTATTTGCGGAGTAGGCTTTATCGAAGAATCGGTCGATAAAAATGAAAGTGAATCACTGCGTGCGATGAGGATTATTAATTCATTCGAAAAGGAAAATTTCATTAGAAGTTAGTCTTTTACACGAGAAACCCGAATAATTATACGGTACCTTATTAGCCTGTTGTTGTTCATAGGTGCTCGTACATCGGAGCCACTGCATCAATTTAAACAACAAAATATCTTATTTCTATTTTAACAACATTCTTGATTTTTCTCATATTTAAATCAATGTGTGTAAAATTATATATCGATCAATATGATCGATATGATCGATGAGTTGCAATTAAATGAAATTATAATTGATAATTTTAATAATTCAGAAATATCATTTATATATTTATTGGCATTTATGCCAATTATATTAATTAACAAATAAGATTTTACCTTCGTATAGGCGGTGGTGAATCCTCGACTTGACCATTCGATTCTTGAGCAAGTCTAACCGCCAATTCGTGATCTCTTCTTTCTTGTTCCAGTAATTCTCGATACCGATTCTCCTCCATAGCTTCTTTCTCCAATTGAGCCTTTAAATAATACAAAATAATAGCACATATATAAAATATATATTAATAATTATTTACCAAAAAATTATTAGTCAGTCTATTTATCAATTCCATAAATAAAAAAAATTTTTTTTAATATTTATTATTTCTCGAATTTAAAAATAAGCTAAACTATTTGTTTGCATAATATAAAATAAAAATGCATAAACACTTTGCTTATAACAATTTAGATTTTTACACTAAAATTAATTTACCTGTTTATAAATTAATATTATCACATAGAAATTCAACGAACCTGAAGAGCAGCCGCGGTCTTTTGATCCTCCTCCTCCTGTTTTCTTCTCTGCTCCTCTTCGATCTTTCTTCTGGCTTCCATATCGAGTTTTTTCCTCCTGTTCTCTTCCTCCTCCCTCCTTCTGCGTTCCTCCTCCTCTTTTCGTTTCTTCTCTAGCTCGAGCTCCTGCTGAATCTTCCTTAATCTTGCTTGTTCCTCAGCAACTTTCTGCTGCTTCACCATGTCTTGAAGAGCGACCATTTGTTTATTCATCTGATTTACTAGAGATGTGTAAAGACCATCGATCTCCGTCGGTATAATTCTCGGATTGTTTTTGATTTTACGTATAGCTGCTTCTAGATCGTCATCGAGTCTCTTCATGTCCTGCGTCGATTTCTCTCGATTCTTCAACTGACTCGCGGTCTCCTCCATTCGTGTCAATTGCTTTCGTAGATTCTTGATTTTCATAATACCGCGAAAGCGTGGCCGATGCTGTTTTTTCGCAATGTACATTCTTGCTGTTTTCTGCAACACGATCAGATGTTGTTGCCGATAGATGATCTTGTTCTTCAGCTTGATCACCGACAATGCACAGAACTGCAGCTTGTTCCAGCGCGACTTCAACAACCACTTCTTCACGTTAGCGACTAGTTTGCGCAGATTCTCCGGATCGGACTTCATAATCCGATCGAATTCTGCGAATTTGCCCGGCTTGAAGAAGACTCGGGTGATGCCGAATTTGAAATCCTTCTGATTCAGCTTTAGACTGTGCAGCAGAGCTTCGCAGAAAAATCTGGGATCGAGCTTGGCAAGCTCCGGCGGCAAGTAGGACTTGTACATATTATAAAGTTCGTGAAAAGGTACCCGGCTAGGATATCCGTGCTCCATCAATTCCAGAACCGACGTCATTCCCGAACAACGTAGTTGATTCATAATGCTGTTGCCGTCGAATTGATGCGCTACCATATCGCTATTCGGCTTGATGCATCTTATAAAGTTTGTTCCCTAAAAAATTCAGGTAAGCATTATAAACAGAGAAGACAGAACAAAGTATAAAAAAATTTTTAAATCCATATTCTTACATTGCTCTTTAACTTGTCCATCAGTTCGCCGAGCTGCGTCTTGAATTTACTGCCGACACTGATAAAGGTGAGTTTTCCCTTTTGCAACGAATGATTGGCGAATTGCGTCCTAAGGAATTTATTCCCACTTTCCTGAATAAGCCCTTCTAAGGAGGCATGCAGTGCATCGTTGTTTTTTTCAATGAATTGATTCTATAAGATCAAAATATAAACTTATAATTACATACTTTTTCATTCACTTAAATTTTTCTAGATGCAAAAATTCAAATGAGTCTAAAAATCAGGAAAATGTCTTTGAAAAATGCATTTATGA